TGTGTCTATGTAATTTTATAAGTGAGAGGGTATACATACACTGTATATTTAATTCTCTCACACTCACTTCCTTCTCATTTTCATCCATGGACTCTTAATCAGTTAAACATTTGTATTTGTCTTTTTTCTTAAGAGAAAAAAAAATATCAAATAACAAAAATATATTAAAATAATCAAAATATCAGATCAAATAAATAAACAAATAACTACCACTAGTAACATTTCATTACTGATTTGACACTTTTTACGTTCTTCTTCGCTTTTAAACTTTCCTTCTTTCTAATATAACATGAGAATTCATTTGCATAGACCCAGAATGACACTAAGGAAATGGATGAGTGAAGCCAGCAAATGCTGGCACAGTATCAGAAACAGCTTCCTTGCAGTTGCCAGTGCATCCACAGCAATGAATCAAGTTGCCAATCAATCCATCAGACAGGACTTTGAATGCAAACCCAGGGGCTTCATTAAGAGACAGAAAAACCTATGACAGCTCATTTTCTGTGCTTTAGAACAGACACGTACAGAATAATATTGCCAGCAGAAGAAAAGAGAACGGAAAGAAAAGAAATAAAAACAGGAGAAAAATAAAGTATGCCGATGTCCGCTTACATTTGTGATGTTGGCTTCCTAGTTCCAGACTTAGTGAAGCCCCTGAAACTAAAATAGCATTCTTGAACACAAGTAAAAAATATGGTCCTAGGCAAGGCACACTAAAAGGCAGAGGCCTAGATCTAGATTAAGGCAAGGATGGGGCAGGGATCAAGAAGTCTGGGGACGGAACCTGTAACAATGAACACACCACCGTTACAGGTTCACAAAATCCTAAACTGCTCAATTTGACTTTTTACTAAGATTTTTTTATTGCTTTCTTTTGTGTGTGCATGAAGATGCTCTCTCTCTCTCTCACTTCTCTCTACACAACAAGGTGCACCATGAGTTTTTAAATGCAAAGAGGAGAAACCGCAAGATATTGACATTTCTCACGCAATAAAAATTGTGACCCAAATCAACCAAGCTCTTGATTGGATGTCAGCCTGTCAAAAGACAAGAAAACATAGAAAGAAAGGAAAAAGAACACAGACTACCTGCAACCCACAGCTAATTCACAGGGTAATGAATCTTCTGAATATATTTGTGTCATAAACTTATAAACCATGAAGACCTTCAATGATTATGTTCAAAAAAAGAAAGAAGGATAGTTTATCTTTTTTTTATTCTCTTTACTTTTGTAATATCTTTTGTAAAGAGAAAAGATGGAAAAATTCAAAATTCAATCCTGACCATGAACAAGAGTGCTTCATGTCCTTCCTAAATTCTAAACATTGTATACAATTAAACTATATCAACATACACAGCATATAGTAAAAAGAACCTTAAAATACATCACCCACTAACTTCCCTCAAGAGCACTAATCACTAAATCTCTATCAACTCACTAACCGTTGGCGAACTAGTATCACTCATCAAAATCAGCGCAAAAAAAATGCAAAATCATAAATGTAAACAATCTGCGGAAGGATAAAAAGGGAGGAGGGATAGGCAATGAATAAAATATATATTCATATTAATAAAAAAAAAAACATGATATAGCCTGAACTAGAGTGGTGTAAGGAAATGATGTCCAGCAGCTCTTTGGGAAGGACAAAAGATATCCTGTTCATTTAATACAATGTGCTTTGACATGAAAGCTAAAAGGGTTGAATGTAACCCAATGCTGCCTGAAGTGGCATGTACATACATTCTATGCCCACTATGAGTTTAGTTTGTCTTTCCTCATAGATGCCTCCACAAATACTAAGTCACCAATGAGTCAGTTATCAGTACTTTATCTCACTTGTTTATAATTTTCCTTTTAATAATGTTATTAACATTATAATAATCAAAGTCTATAATAATCATAAGAGCTATGATATTGATAGCACAGAGGGGGAAGAAAAAAATCAAGGAAAGGTGAAATCAGGTGAGGTCATGAGGTCAATGAGACTCTTTGTTGACTAAGCAGCTGTATAGCCATCTATGTGTAGAGATATTTCACTGAACAATGCTGTAGTGAATACTAGATTTTCCCAGCAAAATTGGATTAACATAAACTTCACTGATGATAAATTAAAGTGGTCCGGACATGAATTCCAGTCCATCTTGCCAAGTCATTTTGAGGTTATTTAACCCAATGCTGCCTGTGGCTCTGCAAGTGCTTAACCACAAAGTAGCCAATTAGCAGACCTTGTGACCTTATGTGATTTGAATTGGTGGGAAAAATGTATTTTTTACTTGTGCTATGAATATCGATGGTGTTATTTTTATTATAAACATTATAATTACTATAATGTTATAATCATTAGATGACATAAAATATTTTCGTAAATCAAAGAAAAGGGTAAATGAGTGAGACAGGCAGTACTCATAGTTGGCTCATTGGTGAATTAGTACAAGTGTAGCCATCTATGGGTAAAAACAATCAAATAAGTAACTCACAGTGGGCATGGCATGTACATACATGTCATGCCCGTCGGCATTGGATTAAAAACAACTAAAGTCTCCTAGTCTTCTGACGGAGATTCGTTCAAATATAAAAGTTGCAACAAGATTCAAATCACAAAGATGAAAAGCAGCATCAAGACATGACTTTATACCCTAACCTAGTACATAATTGCTTAAATCCCTATTCCAAACAGCCAAATACTCAGCTTTACCAACAATTTATGTCATAGGATCTCTTCCCTTAAAATAAAATATACAGAAAAGGGTACGTAGCAATCTGCATAATCTTAAATATATTTTTGTGGAAATGAAGACTGAATAAGGATGCTGTATAAGAATTTTTCCTACTATTACAAATATCAAACTTAATTTGATTTGAAAAACATATATAAAATATATATAAAACAAGAGGCAACCCGATTAGGAAATAATCAAGACAAGACATGGTGGAGAATTTTTTTAAAACAAGATCAAGTACAATGACCAAAGAATATATAATGGATAAAAAGAAGGCCACTATTACATGACACTGATCACACTATAAGAAAACTAAACTCAATACAATAACCCCATGATATTTTCTATTCAATCCACGGATGCCTGATTTTTATGAGACAGATAGACAATGTGTGTGTGTGCTTGTGTGTTTGTGTGTGTGTTTGTGTGTGTGTGCATTTGTGTTTGTGTTTGTATTTGTGTGTGTGTGTGTGTGTGTGTGTGTGTGTGTGTGTGTGTGTGTGTGTGTGTGTGTGTGTGTGTGTGTGTGTGTGTGTGTGTGTGTGTGTGTGTGTGTGTGTGTGTGTGTGTGTGTGTGTGTGTGTGTGTGTGTGTGTGTGTGTGTGTGTGTGTGTGTGTGTGTGTGAACTAGGACTCTGTAGTTGCTTCCAGTTTTTCCAGTGTGTCAATAACAGTTTATACAAATACAAAGACATTCCTTTCTTTTTCTGGTGTACAATTTCAACAAAAGACTAAAAAAAGAAAGACCAGACAAAAAAAAAAAAAGAAAGAAAGAAAGATAACAGGTGCATCTTGTGATATTAATGACTGAAAAATAAGAATAAAAAGCAAATAAAAATTCCATAATTTAAAGAAAACAGTGATAAACAGTCACACACATCATAAGGTAACTAGATGCATCTACACTAATGATCAAGAATTACAGTCAAGTTGTTTTCAACTTACGAAGCTTCAGGTCAACTCCCGGGAATTCATCAAAGTTGCTCGTGTCATCAATAGATTTGACTTCAACTGCGATGGCAGAAGGCCGCTCCCTTGAGTGTTCCCAATCCACAAACTGAAAGCAGTTTTATTATTAATATAAAAGAGTGATAGAAAAACCTGTTACATGATGCATCTGCTGTAAAAATTGGCTGTATGTGTTCAAGAACATAAATATAGTTCAGATAACCTTTGCTGAAAAAAGAAGAGGATGCAAGTATGGGGCAAGAAGGAGGGGAGAAGGGAGGGGAGGAGGGAGGGGAGGAGGGAAGGGAAGGGAAGGGAAGGGAAGGGAAGGGAAGAGAAGAGAAGAGAAGAGAAGAGAAGAGAAGAGAAGAGAAGAGAAGAGAAGAGAAGAGAAGAGAAGAGAAGAGAAGAGAAGAGAAGAGAAGAGAAGAGAAGAGAAGAGAAGAGAAGAGAAGAGAAGAGAAGAGAAGAGAAGAGAAGAGAGAGGGAGGGGGGGAGAGGGGGAAAGAGGGAGAGGGAGAGAGATAGGAGGGAGGGAGGGAGGGAGAGAGGGGAGAGAGAGAGAGAGAGAGAGAGAGAGAGAGAGAGAGAGAGAGAGAGAGAGAGAGAGAGAGAGAGAGAGAGAGAGAGAGAGAGAGAGAGAGAGAGAGAGAGAGAGGGGGGGGGGGGGGGGAAGAGAGAGGGAGAGAGAGTGAGAACAAAATCATTAAGATAAAAATGAAGTCAGATAGGAAGATGGTAATACACACACACACAAAAAAAAAAAGATAATCTACAAATAAAAAACTGAAAATGCCACTTCACCTGGAAGAACTTCATGCTTTTGAGGTCTTCGATCCCGTGTTGAGATCCTGCCCTCCGCTCACTCTCACAGCATAATCGTGTGATTGTTTCTCGTGCCTGCTCTGAGATAGGAACCTCAGGGGGGAACACCAAGGTTTCCCGCCAACTCATCACTTTCCTGTAGGTTTCTTGGGGGTTTTCACTACAAAACGGTGGGTAACCTGGGAACGGAAGGATGGAGGATTATTTTCATGTTGTGTCTTCCTCTTCTCCTAAACTATGAACACAAAGCCCATATGCGCACTTGATAAAAAAACTTAAATACAAACACAAACAAAACCAGGCACATACACAAGTGAATAAATAAAGTAACATTTTAGAACCCAATATTCCCATTCAACTCTAAACAACAAGACATCCAAAACCACGTAACCTTACAACTATAAATCAACGGTCTCTTCCTCTTACCTATAAGCATCTCATACATTATAACGCCAAGGCTCCACCAGTCACAGCTCGGCCCATAGCCAGTCTGCATGAACACTTCTGGTGCAATGTAGTCTGGGGTTCCCACAGTTGAGTAGGCAAGAGCCCTTCGGTTTTTCTTCCAGCTCTCCGCCCGCCGTTTTGAATCCATAGGATTGGAGGCTGGAACATTGGAGTAGGTTGCTACATGGGGAAGGCAGGATGAGGAATTGGGATAAAAAGAGAGGCAGGAAGAGGAATGACATGCAAGCAAGATAAGGAAAGAAAGAAAGAGAACATGCACCAGAAGATTGGAAGATTTGAGAAGAGAGAAAGAGAAAGAGAGGGAATGCACAAGTCACAATTTGAAGCAAGACAAGCATTAATTGTGAAATTGTGAAAGTAATAGCCATTTTCCATTCATACAGCATTAATATTATGAAGAAATCCCAAGCAATCAGCATTCAAGAATCATAAAGAAAATAATAATAAATTAATATAATAAAGATAAAAAAAATCATTACATTTATATATATTTTAATGTAATGCAATGTACAGTCATACACACACAAGCAGGGGAACAAGACAAAAGGGAGAGGCAGGGGTGAAGGGGGAAAAAAGGGAAGAGCAAAAATTAAACACACGAAAATATACTTATCAAAGCCATAATTCATAGCTTAGCTTCTAATCACTTAATCACAAGAAAATCATATAACAGCAGGTTCAAAACTCTAAACTTAAATCAGGTAAATAAACCGATAGGTAAATTCAACCCAGAAACTAACATTCGACACGTCAAGCACTGGTAAAATACCCGGGGATCTATTTCATACCAACTAATTGAGTACAAAGCAGAACTCATCAATATCTATTTCACGTGGGTTGAGGTCAAAGGGTCAGGCATTGACAGAGCAAACGGGGGGGGGGAGAATTGGGGAAGGAGCTCCACAGCAGACCACAAAAGAGTAAAAGTGGAAATAAAATCTGGGGCCAACCTACACCAACATATTTTCAAAATGAATAGGGTAAGGACAGAGCTCAAGTTAGAGAAATAAAATGATCAAGGGAAAGATACTGAGACAGACAAAGATAATCGATAGAATTTAGAGTTTCACATTATGCCTCTGGGCCGGCCTAAACTCCACTGTGCCTGTAAACACTGGGAGTGACAGCCACATACAGGCAACTTGCAAGTTTGTGTTTGTGTCATATATGGAATAAGAATAAAAAAGTGACTCTGATACAGACAGACATGATAATATGAGGTACTGGGGCTTTTTTTTTTTTTTTTTTTTTTTTTTTTTTTTTCGGTAAAAGCATCCAGATACCATGATGGAGAGTCAAGACAGTATTTTAGAATGGCATGACGCAGCCACCCAGAGGCAAAGTTACAATTGAGGGAGGGTGAAAGAGGATGAATATTAAGAGGGAGATCGAGATTGGGAAGGCCAAGAAAGGTCAAGTGCGACCAAGGTTGAGTAATTCTAAAAATGACAGGTATCACAATGATGATTACAATGGACATAATGACTTTCCATTTCTTTCAATTACTTTGACTTACATAAACATTTGTCACTGAACCCTTTTGTAATGTTTGACTCACCTTGTCATTTTTCCAAAGACACCTAAATCAATCTATATCATAAAATAATTAACCATAATTTCCTTGGGTATCTACAAGGTGATCGGTCTAACACTGACAAAGTCTGTATCATATACAGATAGAGTGAAAAACTAAGAAAAATAGGGATGTGGGTCTATAATGAGACATAAGATTGCAGGGTATGACTTCTAACTATTCACCTCCAAACACTACTGTCTTTGGATTTTAATATAAAAAGGACAACTTAGACTTCATCTGTCACCTATGCACAACTGTGTGAAACGATCACGTTCAATGACATACTTGCAACAATCTTTTCCAAAACTTACTAAAATCTGATGGTTTGGCTTGGCTGAGATCTTTATAAAATTCTGTACGATGGGACTTTTTCAGCCCTGTGCATAAACCAAAATCAGATAGCTTTATATGTCCTCTGGCATCTAATAAGAGATTGTCAGGTTTGATATCTCTGTAAAGAAGAAATTCAAGAATAAGATAGAATAATGGGAATGTACACACAGGATACATTCAATATTCTTTTTGAAGTAAAAATTAATCATGATTCTGTAATCTGGTGTGCTGAAATATAGTTAGGCAAAGTAAGCAAATTTACCTTTAAATGCTGTTCTCAAAATATGCATAATAAAATCAAGTAATTGAAGACTAATGTTGAGTGCCATACCTATGAATAAAGCCTAGTTTATGAATGGAGTCTATAGCAAGCGCAGTTTCTGCTATATAGAACTGTGTACACTCCTCTGATAACGTGTCCTTTTTCATTAGGAGGGTCATCATATCACCTGGAAAAGGAACAACTCAATAGAAAATTATGATCTGAAAAGATTAATATTGAAGAAATCAGGATAAACTTCTATATCAAACATAGATGATACACAGATATTAAAATCTTTATTTATCAACTTTAAAACATCTGGCAAGCTGAAAATCTAGGCATTTTATTGTCAACTACAAGTGCATTT